ATGACATTCCCATCAGCCTTATCTGTAGCCTGCTTGGTGTTTAGAGCTAATGACCAAATGTTGGCATCAACAAACTAAATTAAGGTGGTGAACATGGTAAACGTTGTCATTGTGAGCATGTTAACATAAGCTAGCAGCTAGCATTTAGCTTAAAGCATTTTTATGCACAAGTACAGCCTCACACAGCAGCATGGCTGTAGACTATTAGTTTGATTTTAGCTGCAACAAGCAGCTCTATAGCTCCCTCTGTTGGTTGGTTAGTTAGTTGGTTGGTTGGTTTGTTGTCGGGGGTGTCACAAAACATCAATCTGAATTGATATATCGATTATATGATCAACGATCCAATATTATCTATGCAAAGTGAAAACATTGATACTTATTGCCATCTTCTAGACACACCTTTATTTTAAAATTCCCCTGCCCAACTGTGTCAACCACTTCCGTCAAAGCACACTGCCTTTAGCAATCAAACAATACAAGTGGCCTCATGCCAGGCAGATCAAGAAAAAGACACTGAGGGTATTTACTAATATCATCTCCAAAAAAATTGATCCAACATTGTATTGTGATAAAACTTTGGATTTACACTCCTAATTGGTCAGGCAGTTGGTCCACAAAAATGTTACTTATATCTGGCATGGAGGTGAGGAAAGAAGGGGGTTGGCAAATGGGAGATAGGAGTGGCTTATTGCAAAAAGGTGCATAATTTCCAAAAAGATTCAGACTTCTAAAAGATACTGTGGAAAGATGTTCGTGATTCGAAAGACAGCTGACTAACTGTTCATGCCATCCGGCAAAAAGGGGAAACACAAGGATGTTTGCGCAATATGGATCCCTTTGATCGATTTGTAATGATCATTTATTAAGAATTCTGACAAGGTCTTTAAATGACTTCAAAACGTTTTTGGCATAAGTGTTATTGTAAGTTATTGGCTCACATAGTATTCAGTATATGTACAGAAACCACTATGAAACACACCCTGAAAACAATTACATTTAGATCTGGATTCCACTAATCAACCACCATTCCCCTGCTTATTCGAAATGCATGTTGCTCTCAGTGACTCATATGCAAGAAGAGTAAATATAATCGAATTCTCGAGGAACACAGCAGTCTGCTCGCTGCTTGTAGGAGTCTAGTTGTGGCTTTGGTGTGGGATTAGATGTGTTCTCTGTGGCTCGGATCAGATGACTAACAAGACTTAAATTTATCATCTGAAGCAACAGTGTGCGTGTGTGTGTGTGTGTGTGTGTGTGTGTGTTTGCTATGTAGTTTATGCTCTATGTCGTATCTTGTATGGCAGCCTCATTAATGTGCTGTGGACCTTCCTGTGTGTACACATCTGTGTTTGGCTTACTGTATGTACTGTAGAAATGTTACTCACAGTGTATCAGCAACTCCCTATACTGCTGTATTCTTGTGAATAAATCCTTAACACAATTCAGGCTGTGACAGGGGATGTTGGCTGTGCGGTCTTGCTTATAATTAACCGACTGTAAAGACTAGACGCACAGAGCTTAAACACTTTGAATTTCAACGATTTATCGGCCTCCTTCATCCGCTTTGATTGACCCCTTAAAGAGTCCATAAATGACAGGGTGCGTTCTTGATTGATTACTTTGACGTGTTCAGAGACTACACAGCTTAATTACTTTCCTTTTAGGCACTCAGTAACTCACGTCTTATTCGAAGTATTTGACATTTATGAGCATGCAGACTGCTTATTTTACATGAAGAAACTGACAGCCACAGCAGAGGTATTGTCGCATTTTGGGTGTGAAATAAAAACAGATGAATTTATGTATCCTAACGTTAAGGTGGAAGATTCTTGATTTACATATTCATCACCTTCAAGGTCTCTTATCTCCCTGTGTAACTTCAGGCTGTGAATCTGCATTAAAAACAACCTGAGCACCAATGCAAGACACCTAAAAGTGGAAAAAGGAACATCGTGTCCACACGCAGCTTGAGAAACCCTTTTTTTTTTCACTGTTTCACTCTGTTACATCAACCGTAATCTAGAGTGACAGCTGTGTGATGACCTACGCGACACGCAACAGCAGTGTCTCAATTATAAAGCATGAAATTGTAACTGTCTGAATTCTGGTTGAACTTTTACAGCTTCATGCCCGTTTGCACTCAAACAATGTTAAGCCCACCACAAGGCAGTGTGGGCACTCGGGCTGCTGTAGGTGGAGCCGCCGCTTGCAGGCTCTGGAATCTCGTTAAGCATATTGTGTTGCCAGAATCAAAGCAGAGGTGTACTTGGCAACGGCTAACCGCTACAACCAAGGAAGTCAGGAAATCTCTGTGGCTTAGTAACACCCCACATTGCAGAAAGAGCTTGTCAATGGGATTTTGGGAGGATATTCTGCAGCTTGTCACAGAGGCACAAATCACATGACATAACTGCAATGGTTTGTCAGAGAGAACAAATTTTAGTCTTGTGGGCTTTTCAACCTATTCAGTTTGTTTTAATTTATAGAGCAGATGCCCAAGAAAAGTCTGATTTTGGGACAGTTTGTACTCAAGAAAGGCTCTTTCTTTTCTCACCTCAGGGTATCTCAGCTGTGTTCCAGACCTTTGAGTTACTGTTGGACATCTGAGGTCTTCTTTAGTGATTTAAAAAGATCTGGTTTTGTGCTTATTGATATTTCCCCAGTTGGAGATATAACTAAGCCAATAAGGGCCTTGTAGGTGTGATTTTCCTGTGCCAGAGCGAGCATCCTTTCTCATGGTAAACAGTAGCCTTAGCAACTGCTACTGCCAGTACTGTAAACTTAAAATGGCAGTGATGCATTGATAACTGTGTGTTGGTCACTATAAAGTGGTTAGGGCAAAATACACCATCATATTAAAGAAAATGGCGATATGAAGAGGGAACAAAATGGCAGTCCAGTTGGAGAATTCTGGACAGTGGTGTCAGGTAGGGCTTGGCAATATACCAATATGATATCAATATCATGATGACACTAGATATCATCATCAAGAATTTAGATATTGTAATATATTGTTCTGGTTTAAAAGCTGCATTGCAATAATGTAATTTATGAACTTAGCAGACTGTTGGCTGTTCTATTATTTGCCTTTAGCTAAGTGGTAATATATGTCCACATGACTGATGATTATTCATCACTAATGTGGTGTATTCTTCACCAATAGTCAATCCTACAATATTGTCACAAATATTGTCGTCAAGGTTTTTGGTCCAAAATATTTTGACATTTGATTTCCTAATTTTCTTTTGAGACATCTATTGAGGGTGGCTTTTTCCTAGCGATTGTAGTGAGGCAGTAACTTATAAAAGGAACATTTAATTGAAGCCGTTTTTCCATACTCATGCCATAGAACCACAGCCAAACACACTTAAAAGATTTTCAGATGGGTTTAAACACCTGAACTGTGTACAAACGGTGAAAATGAGCTATATTGCTTATGGAAACAAGGAACTCCAGATGGCACTCTGTCAGAAGAGCCCACTCGCAAATATCCACATGGGATGGAGCTCTCAGTGACAAAGGGGTTCAGCCTTTTAGACAATTCCTCCAATCATCATGCATACACCGAGCGTCCTCTCCCGCCTACCGCTCCATTAGGTCCCAGGGAAGCTGAGCCTGTGACGATTTTGTCACATTTATCCAATGGCCGTCTCGCTTTGCTGCATGAAAAAAACCTGCTCAGCGCTGTCTCGTAGGAATGCTTGGAGGCTCCGAGTCCACCGTGCTGACACAAGAATGCATGACAGAGAGGTCGCGTTCAATAGTGTATATTTGACGATTTCTTCTAGGAAATTTTATATATAAATATATATATATATATATATATATATACGTATATTATGTATACATCCTTAAAATGAGTTGCACATCTCTGGGGTTAGAGTTGGGTTTTAATGGAGAAAGTGCAAAACAACGGCCATTTTCAGGGATCAGACAATCTGCTTTTTAGTTATGCGAGACTGCTGTGACACAGTGCTTATTATCCAGTATCACACTGACACTATTTAATTTGGTATCTTTTGTCCATTGCCATAAGACTGCAAAGTCTTTTCCATTAGCCAGTTGGATTTTGTGTCATTTAGTGTTCTAGCCCAACCATCTCATTTGGCAAAGACTAACATCTGGCAGATGCAGACATTAAAAGGAGCCTTGTTTTAGCACAAAGATGTATTGTTGTGTAAAGAGAGCACTAATTGCACTGAGGTTTCAAAATTGTGTTTGTTTATTCACCTGGGCTGGCGCAGCCTGGAGCCACAACACACCATTTTCACCAAAATAACCATTATGAAACCTTGTTGTGTCTACCTTTCCCTCTGTGTGCTTTTCATCCTCACCCATTACGATGAGACGCAGCGGTGGGTTTTGGGAGGACATGTGCTCTGACACGGTCACAGAATTTTAATGAGGAGATGTATTAATACCGTATTATTACACACCAGCTTTTTCATTCTTTTCATGAAGCTATAGTTATTTTCAGAGTTTGCCTTTGAAACCTTGTATAAAAAACATCATGCATTTGAATCTGTCTCTGTCTAACCCTGGTGTTTTAATCCTTATATTTCCCCCAAACTCAATTATCCATCCTTTAATTCTACAAACTCAAATCAGAGACCAAGAAGGGTTTAATTACCAACTCAAATGCCAAAATTCCTTTTTTTCCTGCTCCCTCCTGCACTTAAAAGTGCAGTTTTTACATTTGATGTTTTAATTCAACTTTGGTCATGGCCAACCATGTGCTCCTGGTAACAGATGCATGTCAGGACAGGCAAATCAAATCAAAAAGGGCTTTTTTTTCATATTTCAAATCCCATTTATTTCTGTATTTAATGCCTTGAAATTGCAAAGACCCACAGTTTGTTTTGCTGAAAATCTTCAACATTCAAAATCATTCATCATAGAAATGCCAATTTCCTACTATTTTGTATTCATACAGCCCTGCATCTTGCAGGTTAGTAACTTCCTTTCACTAACTTGTCCCACTGTGTCTCTTTCTTGTTTAGGTGATCTTAGAGATTCATCAGAGCCAAATGTGACAGCTGTCAATAAGAGGTGTTGTACGACCTTCGTGACATGAATCACTATGTGTTTGGATACCTGACCTGACCAAACCACTGATCCTGTTACTGTGAGTAAAGTGTACAAATTCCCCAATTTTTAACCACCTCTAGCATTTAAAAGCACACCACTGAAGGAGCACACTGTGTCATGGCCAGTTTACTCATTTGTTTCCTGATGAAGCAATGGCACTCGTCCATCAGTGTGTTTACATGCACTTACCACAGTTACAGTCAGCTTTCAGCTCAACCTGATTTCCTAAACATCATGTTTATTAGAAACCTGATAACCAGAGTAGGAGTCCAGAGAAACCAAACTTCCTCAGATATATGTGTATCGGAGAAAGACAATGTCTTGGCCATGTGCTGTATCTGTGTGACTGGGTTTCTAATCATCTTCTTACATAAATACATGGACTTCACAAAGATCTTTACATATATACATTCTTGAATTCAACTTCACTGTATAACTGAAATTGATACAAAGTTGCTTAAGTTTGAATAACTGGGTTTTCACAGCCTAACTTTTGACTGTGTAAAATGAAGACAAATTTGTGTTGTAAAGAAAACTTGTTTGCTCTTACTGCAGTACTGTCAGCCCTCCAACATACACATTCAGAAGAAGTCAGGAAGCAGTGTCTTGTATCACAAAATATTGCACTTAAAATAAGTAAGGGCAATCGGATTCCTAACCTGCTGGATGTGTAAGTAGATTTTAAGATGCAACTACCCTCTAGTTTTCTGCCTAACCCCACCCACTGTAGACATTTGTAAAAATGCTAAAAAGTGGGCAGGGGGCTGAGAGGGCAGCAAGGAGGGGGGTGGGAGTGAGGAGGCTTAACATTCTTATTTAAAAAAGTTATTAAAGGGACATTGTGTAGCATTTTCAGTTGTTTATTGGCAAAAATTGATGTCTGCACTCATAAATATGTCATCATTGGTGTATTATTACCTCCACCAATAGTCTGACTTATTCTCGTAAAAGGAGAATTTTGGATTTGTTTGTACATTGTGCAGGTAAGTCGTCTGGGGGGGTTCCATAATGTTTCGCCATCTTGAGAATACATCCGCCAGCAAGGCACATATAGCACTACCAGGGAATAGCCCCGCCTTCAGCGTTTTCATTGAGAGCCAGGCCAGCGCTGTGTGACTGAGAAGCTGAAGGAGAGGAGCAAGAGGCGCTTCGCTACTACCCCGGCACGACTGCAGCATAACAAAGTCCCACTCTTTGAGCATAATGCAGGATCATGCATATGCAGCATCACGGGAGATGGAAACCTCGCCGCCAGGGAAGCGCAGAAGGGCATCAAAAAGGCAACGTGACCGGCGAATTCAAAGAACGAGGGACAACTTGGTCAGTTGTCAGTTGTCAAAAGAGAAGACGTGATTGGTTTGCAGTCCTACTTTGTAAACACAGCCAGTATGGTGAGGAGGGGGTTTGTCAACTCGCGTCACGTGTGTCTGTGTAGGAGCCTGAATGAATACTCCATGAAGTATTGGATGACATGGTTTCATCAATGTTATCATAGCTTTTTGGTCCACAGCGGCTGCTGTTGTTGCAATACGCATTTGAAACAGTGATGCGCTAGAGTGCGCTATCCGTTTATGATTTCAATGTTAGATTGGAGAAATTCCTACACACTGTGGCTTTAAGTTTGATCCAGTTGACTCTATGTTAGCTTTGGCCTTGCAAGGTTCAGGGTGAACTCAAAACAGTAGAGCATGCATTTTCAAACCAGGAAATACCTTCATTCATTTTTCATAACTGCTTATCCTGTTAGGGGTTGCGGGAGGGCTGGAGCCTATCCCAGCTGACATTGGGTGAGAGGCAGGGTACACCCTGGACAGGTCGGTCAATTTAGAGTCACCAGTTAACCTACCCTGCATGTCTTTGGACTGTTGGCAGAACACGCAAACTCCGCACACAAGGGCTCCCCCACCCTGGGTTCGAACCAGGAACCCTCTTGCCCTCTCGCTGTGAGGCGACAGTGCTAACCACTGCACCTCCATGCATTTGGTAAGAGGTGTCAATATTAAAACCAACATTTATGTGTTTCATTGCAGTACACTCATATAATGTAGTTCACAGCTCACAAAATATGTTTAAGTGTGCAGTACCTCTGTAAACTCACCAGGTCACTTAGCCAAATAGCTGTAGTTCCTCTAATGGCCACTTGGCTCCAGAAGCAGGTCAGTTCCCATAGACACCCATGGTAAAATGTTCAGCTTTACAGCAGAAACAAACATGTTTACAACTGGGACTACTGGATTGTTCTGGGTAACCTGGTTACTTATATGCTCCATACTGATCAACTACCAGTGGTCTACATCATTAACTTTAACGATGGATGCTAAACTTAAACTTGCAACATATTAAATTATCTTAGCAATATGTGAATAGTTTTTTAGAATATATATCAGCTTTTCACATACAATGATGAAAATAACAAGACTGACAGCTATGAAAAGGTCACCTGGAGAGCTGTAGACTATACTGTTATATACACCATGGAGTAGATAATTATTTTATGTAATTATTCATGTCATTTCAATAATTAAAATGCCATGGTTTTAGATAATGATGGACATGGCTAATGACTGAGATCTGCAAACCATACAGTGATGTATGGTTAGGTGTGAATGTGTTTGTGCTCTTGCTCATGTAAAGTTTAATCAAACCCAAAATCAACCACAAAAGGCTGTTCTGGCACTTTGACATTTAGCGGAGGTATCACTATCCTACAAAAGATCACTTGACTTACATTGGATAACCCTGGAGTCAAGGGCAGATAATAAGACAATAGACCCCTGGGCACAGACATGCAAAAGGTCCCACTACCTCTTCTACGTAGGGGCGAGACACAGAGACGTGGAAGTTTTGCCTCTGTTTTGTTGTTGTTGTTTGCGTCTCTTTGTGTCTTTGAGGTAAAACGTGTCATTTTGTGTCTTGGAGTTCATTTTCTGTCCGTCTTTTTCGTACATTTTGTGTCTCTTTGAGGTAATTTTGTGCATTTCTTTGTATTTTTTGCATTTTGTGCATTGTTTTGGTTGTTTTGTGTCTCTTTAAGATAATTTTGTGTCTCTTTTGGGTGACTTTGTGTCTCCTTTGAAGTAATTGTTTGTTTCAGTAATTTTGTTTCTCTGTGAGGTTTTTTGTCTCATTGAGGTCACTTTGTGCCTGTTTTGGTTGTTTTGTGTGTCTTTGAGGTTATTTTATTCTGTCTCTCTTTGAGACACAACATTAAATAATTTGAGAGATAATTGTGTCTCTGTGATAATTTGCGTTTTGTGTCTTTTTTTGGTTGTTTTGTGTTTCTTTGAGGTAATTTTGTGTCTCTTTTGGGTCATTTTGTGTCTCTGGCAGTAATTCTTTGTGTTTTTTAGGTAATTTTGTTCCTCTCTGAGGTATTTTGTGTCTCTTCAAGGTCACTCTGTGCCTGTTTTGGTTGTTTTTTCTGTGTTTGTGGTTATTTTGTGTCTCTGAGATAATTGTGTGCGCCTTTAGGGTCATTTTCTTTCTCTTTGAGTCCATTTTTGTGTTTTTTTTGTGGTCGTCTTGTGTCTCTTTGTAGTTGTTTTTCCCCTCTTTATAGTTTTTTTCCTGTTTCTTTGCAGTTTCTTTTGCATCTCTTTGTGGTCATTTTAATTCTCTGCACATGTTAATTTGAGTGACATCTCGCAGGTGAAGGACAAAGGGGCCCCTGACACTTCAGGCCCCTGAGCCTGTGCCCGCTAGGCCCATTCAGTAATCCATCCATGCTTGTAGTCAGAATTTAGAGATATGGTGAATGCTCAAGTTAGCATGTAGCACTGGAGCCTATGGCTGACTGGGCATGTATGGATGAATAGTGTCTACACATTTCGCAGTGAAGGAAAAGCTCACCCAAACTTTTTATCCCCGTAAGACAAAACATGTCAAATTTTCTTTTCACAGAAATGTGACATTTTTCACCAAATCTTCTTAAACCCAGCCTGTCACAAATCTTCAGTCAGCATTTGCGCTGCCTGCACCACAATGATTGGATGATATAAATCACTTCAACGGGACAAACACTCAGCAAAACCCAAAGCGTTCTGATTTACTTAAGTTGGATTAGAGTCTTAAGCTATCTCCACAAACTCTTCCTTTCCTTTCTCCTTCTATCATTCTCCCTTTCTGTGAGAAAATTGGCATCATTTACTGCTGTCACTGCAGAGCTCATTGTCCCCCATTATCCCAGGGACAAAGCTGCCGTGACATTGAGTTAATCCGTGCTTGTTTCAATTTTGCTTCCAGAGGAAGAAAACAGATAAGGAGTTCAGGTAAGTGATGGCAAGGAGGCGCCATACCCCAGGCAAAACGGACTACAATGATTGGGACGGTTAAGAAAAAGATAAAATACAATCTGCCAGGCAAATTGGGTTGATTTCCCCAAAAATGTCAGAGACGTGTTGGGTGTGCTTGAGAGGTTTTCTCTCTGGGATTGATGGAACGCACTTCTAAAGACTAAAATTGCTTGCCAGTATGTCAGGCACACATACTGTAAAAAGACAACCACAGTTAGACTAAAAGGAACATTTTATGAAATCTAGGCCAAGGAAACTAGTGTAGGCAGAGACCTCCTCCCTCAACATCAACATCTCTGCAATCATTACCACCATGAGACATAAGGTAATGTTAAAATACTGCAGTACAAGACCTCAGTCAGAAACTTTTGGAAGGAGAACTGTCTGCAAACAATATCTGGCCTCTCCTCCACTGAAAAGTGAAATGTCATGTGTAAGCTCACTGTCTTAGATAAAGCTCTTTCCAGGAGTCTAATTATAGCAAGTCCACATCATATGGTGTATTGTGAACCTAAACTAAGCTTACTTAATTACATCCACAGACTATAGCTAAGAGACCAGAATTAGCCAGGAGAGAAGAGACAGAGAGTTGATCCAAATCCTATGTCTGCCAAGTAAAGCCACATTTTCAGTCTCTCTCCTACCCATTCCAAAAAAGATGATGTATGCTGTGCAGTTTTATCCAGGCTTTTTGGAGTTTGATCAATACTTGAGACTAAAAGATAACATATTTTAGGCCTCAACT